TCCGATCTCTGACTCTGTGATAACGGTCCGCGTGTTCGTGTCACGTAAACAAATAATTACGCAAGCATGCAGAATTTTTACAGAATTTACTAAATGCGCAAGACAAAAAATACTAGAATATTGAAAAAATAGGTCCGCTGTGGCGTACATGCATCGACTAGTTGCACAGATAAAAACATAGGTGTGCACTCTGACCTTTGGAATCGACGTTTCAAAATTGACGTTTCAAAATTGTATTTCCGGTTGGGATTAGCTCATAGTGGTGCCAGAAATGGAAATTATACCGTGATAAAATATGCAAATTTGCAGATACAAGCTCGAAAATAACACACTACAGTCGACACATTGTTATTGATAATGATTCGAACAAGAATATTGCAAAGATACGTCCAAAGTGGCCCAAGTTATGTTCGGCGAAAGGTATGGCTAGTTTATATTTTTGTTCAGACAATTGCGTGATTTGATTGTAGCGACTCATGGCCTTACGATAGTTACAAGTACAAGCGAGAGGATGACGATTTTGTATGTTCATATCTTTCGATTTATGATCAAGCGAGATCGTACATTATCAAATTGCGCAATTGTGTGAACTCTTTCTCGACGACTTTGTATGTTCATATCTTCGGTTCAGTGCGTGCTTATGCCTATTGCCTATGAAGACAATAATACCAACTTATACCACCATTCGATTCAGTGAGACAACTCAATTCAACTAATACCTCACAATAGTTTTAGTCATCAACATTTTCGTATATTATGTTGATTTTGCACTGCCATTGAACCGAAGATATGAACACAAAATCATCATCCTCTCGCATACGATCAGGGGCGGACATATCGATTTTGACTGGGAGGGTGTAATCACAAAATGAGACCGACTCACCACTGAAATATGAATCCAGACCGACTCTTGGTGAGTTGGTGTGTTGCAATAAAATTGAGTACAAAGCATGGAAATTGATGGCATTTATTAGGAATTTTGCAAGAACACGTACAGTTTGCTGTGAAACGTTATATTTTTATTAAGTGTCCGTGCTTAGTCAGGTTTGACCACGGATTAGCGATTTCGTCATGCAAGATCGATCGTGTCTGTTAGATCGCGCTCACACGCAAAGAGTCAAGAGTTCACCTAGGCGTTCCTGGTTCATTACTAAATGCATAACAGTTTTAATGTCACTGATTTCAGCTTTGAAAAGCTGCGCTCGGCGAATGCGGATGTTACAGTAACTGCCAGGCGCGTAACTATAGGATTTTTGATTGACCGGGACACTTCTGGGGCGGGTCTGGGGGCATGCTCCCCCAGACTGAAATTTTTTATTTTTTAAGGCTTAGAAACGCTATTTCCTGCATTCTGGGAGCAGTTCAAACAAAATATCAATTTCATAAACAGTGACACAATGACTATAATTTTATACTGTTGTTTTCCCCCAATCCTGAGGCTAAGAATTACAAATATTTTTGGTCGAACATCATTGATCAGGTGCATAATAAAAAGTGTTTGTGCTCAATTGTTGTAATATTTGGGCGCTGGCCCGCACTTTTGTTATTGGGGTACTTGTGCACCCATACAGCCTCCCATTTCTTACGTCACTGTAGGGCAAGAATAATGCTTCTTTACATTGAGAGAACTATACAGTCTGTGACTGAACTTGAGCTCGATTGACTCGTATACCTAGTTATGGGCCTGACTGTAAGCAACAATTGGAAACATCGCGTAGTCAGTGGAAACAATTTTTCCCTCCGTGATTTTAGATAAACCAGTGCGTCGTTCACTGATCGAATTTCTTGATTGCAGTAGGCACATAAACTCTTTGGTAACAAAATGCATATGCATAATTATCGTGTTACATGTGAACATACTTCCTAATATAACTCGGCTAGAAATTCGTTTTTGCACTTTACATCTTAAAAATATAGTTTAGGGACCGGAGAAATATTGTAACTAATGTTAGCTATTTTGATCGAGATTCATCACATTTTGGAGTCTGATTTGGGGGGTTTGAAATTTTCGCTAATATAGAATATCACCCGTGAATGACCTTGCAGAACCTAAATTCCAAATAAAAGTGGCAACACGTAATTGTGACATATAGATATCTCATGCATGTTTGGAATGTAAATGGAAACTTTATCCCTTTGCGCGTGTTTTGAATGATAATTCGTTCATAAATTCGCGAAATAAGTACGTAATATTTCTTCATATTACTTCTGAGCTGTTTGATCCGTTTGAGCAAATTTCCAACTCAATACTCAATAGTCTGAGTCTATCTCGAGTTTCGAAAATATTTAATTTGCTACGCAAAGCACTGCATGTAAACAAACGCATAATTTTGAGACCGACTGCACGTAGTTTGAGACCGACTGGGTCATTTCTCTGGGGGGGTGAACCACCCCCCCACACCCCCCCACATTTACGCCCCTGCATACGATCTCGCTTGACTATCAAAGGCCATAAGTCGATCGCTACAATGTTGTTCAAAGGCCATGAGGCGCTAGTCGCTACATTGTTAATAATGACTAATCAGGCCATCCAAACACGTAAATTGAAAATGAAATTTTAAGTTATTTTATAAAAAAATTACTTTATGGTTTCCGTATTTGGATGGCATGATCCAAACACTTGGGAATGTTGCTCGAGTTAAGAAAAGCGCGCAAAATCACTCGCCTTCGGCTCGTGTCCGCGCGCTTTTCTTAACTCGCGCAACATTCCTGCGTGTTCGGATCAGGCCATCCAAACACGGAAACCATAAAGTAATTGTATAATAATGAGATTTGTTAGTAAAATTTTAAGATTTTAATTATTCAATATTTTTGGGTAGACATTCGTAATCTTGTGTGATAGATGATAGAGATGCTAAAAGCGGTTAATGAAACTCTCTAGCTGGCACCCCGCTCATTTCAAACCGGGCTGGAGGCGAATTTTAATTGGATGAAATTTTAGCTCGATCAGTAAATTTTTAACATGAAGTTTAGTCAGAACACAAGACAAATTTCGTCACACTGGTGAGCAGCCAATTGTTTCTTTATAATTCTTTAGCCGGGTGGTGCGAAAGCATTCAAATGAATTGGTTTCCTAACAACTCGAGCGCCGAAGCCGCGAGCTCCCTAGGGGGTCCAAGGGTGGTGATATGGGCATTGAATTGTGAGCTTCAGTTTGACTTTAAACTGAAAGGGAAAACCTTGGAAATTATAACATATTTCTGAATTTGACTTTTTTGCACCCCTGTTGACGAAGGCCAACCCCCTTGCGCACCCCCTTGTGCACTCCACCCCTATAAATCCACCCCTGATCGTCAGTAGATTTAAACTTGGCTACCTTACAAAATAAGAACTTTATTTGACCATTATTATTTAAATAAGCTTATGTATACATGTGCAAACTCTGTACACTTCGTGAACAACGTTACAAGTGTCTTCCCAAAATCTCGTCCAGTAACCGTTCCAATTTTTGATTGGTTCCTTTCAAACCTGCAACGACTTTTCTTGACCAATCAAAATACTCCTGTACTCGTTGCTCGGTCCAGTTCACTGGAGTCGCTTTTTCCAGGTCTCGGAAATTGTAAAGTTTATCTGCACTATCAAAGGGAAAAGAATGAAAAGAGGACGTGTGAAGATAGAATATATCGAAATTTGTGTGTGATGTAAATAGTTGAAATTCCTTGGTAATTGTGGTCTTTTTATTTATGCTGGATAACTCTAGCAGTTCTAAACTGTTCTCCCTATAGAGGTCAAGTATGAAGAATTAGTGAATCAGTCATTGCTCCAGTGTTACGTACTGAACTGACCGCCTTTGGATTTCCAGTTTATGAAACCATAGAATACATACAACAAACTTTTAAGTAACAAAGCATTCGATAACTCGTATGCCTAATTATTGTTCTAGTTTGCGAAATCACAGAATAGAACAAAGCCAAAGGTAGTTATATAACTTACCATTACTCATTAACTTGCATGCTTAACTTTTTTTTAGTTTAGAAAATCATAGAATAGAACAAAGGTATCAATGAAATTAAGCATTGAATTAATTATTTATAAAACTATAAAAGTGAATCACTCTTACGTTTGATCCCAACGCCTTTGTTCTATTCTACGCTAGAACAATAGTATCTAAGCATGTGGGTTATCTAATATGCAACATGTCACCTTTGTTCTATGCTTTTATAATTTAGAACAATAGTAACTTGGCATGTGAATTAGGATGAGTTCCTTGCAGAGGCGAAGAGAAGAACACTGCACCTGGTACTCTGGTAGTTCCGACCGGCTATGTACATCAATGCTCAAAATGATGTCAAAAGTTTAGAAAGAAGGGCTTTCCAGTTTACAAGAGAATCGAACCTGTGTCACCGAGTGGCCTACAAAGTGGCTTCACTCAACTAAAGAGGGTCTCCCAGGGGTTTGGGGGGAACAAGGGAACACTGTAAATTTTACAATGGGAACACGGGAACAAATGAAAACAAAATTAGGGAACAAGGGAACACGAAATATATTGGGGAACAGGGGAACAAAGCCCCTTTCCTAGAATATATACGAGTGGTACAATGGCCTAATGTATTGTAGATGAAAAATGGGCATAATATATCGTTTTCTCCAATTTGTCCAACGAGCTAGTGTACTTGTGGTAGACTGTTCTGAGGTACGGGCTGCTTGAGGATGATAAGTGAAGTTTCTCCTCTAGTCAGATTTTTGAGCAGCCATCATGACTTTTCTCGGTCACATTTTGCTTGCACCTGAAAAAGCAGATACCAACGGCAACGCCCTTCACAATCGACGCAGCAATCACCAGAATCGAAGAGGTATATGACTTCGATTGTCAATGCATACATAGAACAAGTCAAAGCCTTCCTTAGAACAAATGCCCAGAGCCAAGGTCCGCAAGGAAACGTTTCTTCAGTCGTTGTGGAAGACGAAACAAGAATCTTTGGGAGAAATGCGAGGTCTTCTTCAAAAGTATGATCCACAGCTTTTGAAATTGTTCAAACTTAAAGCCGTTTGACGCTGGTAGTCGAGAATTGTTTCTTCGAGATAAGGGCAGGGCATGTGATATGCCAATGCAGTTGCAGTTCGACTTTCACTTCAGTCGAGCAATGAAGGAGCACTTGAATACTTCAAGTCAAATCTGACTTGAAGTATTCAACTCTACCAAAGATGGCCCCACCTTCAGCAGCACAGTTGACAAAGTCACAAGTGCAGCAAATGAGAGACTGGCGCATGAAGTATGGTCAAAGTGTCCCACAGAATACCGTGCGGAACATGAGCACTAAAGACAATCCTGGTACTCTGCCGATAAATCTCTATGCCCTGCACAGCCAGCTAGCGAGCCTTTGGAATTCTCGAAAATTACAGAAAATGGTACCCAAACAGACACACACCATGCCAACACGCACAACATTCTTCATTCCACTGGGGACGTTGTTTTTCTTGCCTCGTACGCCAATTGTGGGCGGATGATGATCTACCATCTACAAGAAAACGTCAGTGTTTCAACAAAGGAAGCAAGAGCCACCATTTTTGAAGGTGACCCTTTCAATCCACTTATATTTACAAAAGAAGGAGTTGTCAAGGTCAATGCGAAAGAAATACCTGGTTCTCAAGTGGAAACCGTTTACAGGAGATAGCAACCTTGAACTGACAGAGAATGAGTTTCTAAGAAACTAATGAGTTTCTAATGAGTTTCTTGAATGTGTTGATGCTGTGATGATTGAAGAGGCGAGAGGAATTAGAGAGCGCCAGGATATCGACCAAGAAAGTGCAACAGATACGAAGCCAAAACGTGCAAGAAAGACACCACATAGGCTACTGACGATTTTGTATATTATGATTAGTAAAGGTGATACTTTAGTACTTTAATCGTTGGAACAATTGAAGAAACTATAAATGCAATGCTGTTCATTAGATCTATTTTTTGTTATGTAATAGTAATACTGTTAATACTTCCACGAAGTCAAATAACTATTAAACATTATAGTCTTCTTCAGTATTGTATTTTTCAAATGAGCAACATCTGCAGGCTTGTGATTGTATTTTTCTGTTTAATTTTGTTAAAGTGAACGTATGTATTAATATAATGGATGATAGCGAGGATAAACTGTCAAATTTTCTGAATAACGAAACAAAATTTAATTTATAAAGGGGAACAAGGGAGCATGGTTAAATTTTGGGAGGGAACAAGGAAACAAAGCGAAAATTTTGAAGGGAACACGGGAACAAGAACCCCCCCCCCCCTGGGAGACCCTCACTAAATAACTGCGAATGTCGAAAAATGTATTTAAACAATTTTATTTAATTATTATAAAAGAATTTTATTTAAAGAAAATTATTTTATCTTTTTTCCTTTTTGGGGAATTGGATATAAAGTATTAGTTCATATTTGTGCGGATATCTATTGTTCTCAATAGGGTTTTATTTGGGTAAGAATCTAAAAGCAAGGGGAGGGATTTGATATCTCCACAGGGAAAAGCGGGGTTGATGAATAGAATTGAATGCCTAATTAAAAATGCAAGGTATCTAACTCCATAGTGACCCCTTTTGGAGGTCACTATATGGAGTTAGATACCTTGAATTTTTAACCAAACTCAAACCCCACATCTCCTTTTCGACTAGAAAACGCTGCACGTCTCTGAGTCGAGAAAGAGACAACAGCCGTGTACCTCAAAGCCCGTCAAACTCTACCTTTGGGTAGAATATTTATCATTCGGTGCACGAGGACTAGCTGAACCGACCATCCAACCTCGTACCCAGGGTATTTGCTCTTGGGAAGCGAAAT